CATAATATAACATAAATACTTTTAATAAGTCAAGGTTTACAGACTCAGTAATTGTGATCTACCTTGTTTGTGCAAGAGTAACACATCAAGGTTTGCATACTCAAATGATCGTGATTATCCGCTGATCTATCTTGTCTGTCTGCAAAATTATTCGTATGAATTGGATAAAAAGTGAAAAATATTGAAGTGAAATTATTTTTTTTATAATTGCTTTTATTTCTTCAAAATAATTTTTAATTTTTTGTGTAAGATCATGCTTATGATCCTTATAATTAATCGAGTTTTATGTCAGTGTAATCAAATAAATCTCAAGTTTATAATCAGTGGAAAAATTCTATATGAAACAAATGTACGATATGCTATAAACGTTTCCAACTTACTTACGATTATGAATTTATTACGAAACAATCCATATATGAAGATACTTATTTAAATATTCATATATGCCTATAAATAATCGTAATCTAGACGCGCTTATCTTCATCTTAATTGAAAACGGAGCCATACAGACGGTCGAATGAGTTCTATAATACGAGTATATGAAAAGTTATAATAATTATATACAACATTACTTTTTTTATCTTTAATATATTCATCTTTATGTTCTAAGAAAATCAATATTTCCTTTAAATATCAACATATGTTTTAATGATGGAAACAAATCTTAAACGAAGTGGATAAACGGGGCGAATCTGAGGCTATGGTAATATTTATCGCAATATTCAGTAATATAAGTCAAACGCTTTTTTCAGCCGACGTGCGAGTAAACAATACATAGATATAGGTCGAGTACATGTTAACTAACAAACTACAACGCGAAATATCAGCCTCAGTGGTCTAGTGGATAAGATGCCTGCCCGAAAAGCAGGTGATCCAGGTTTGATCCCTGGCTGAGGTGATATTTTTCGCAATATATATTTCTGATGGAGGGGGATAATAAAAGGGATTTTCGATATCAATAATATTGATCATCGAATTATTATAGAGTCACTACGTTGAAAGTCTGCTAAACCAAAGCGGCACGTAATTGGTAATATAATTAATTGAATTTATTTCATATTAAAAAGACTTTAGCAACCAAGATCCTGCTTGCCAAGGAAATGCCATGTTTCGCGTTGTAGTTTGTTAGTTAACATGTACTCGGCCTATATCTATGTATTGTAATATTTATATAAAATAGACATTATAAATCTACGCGCTATTTATCTTTTTTAACACAAAAGCAAAAATTAATATAATACTATTATATTACTGTTACACTATAATATTTTTAACTTCTTGGTACACAATTGTCAAAATTCGATCCTCTGTGAGATCAATACAATGACAGCTATTCACGAAGTTAGCGCAGCGAGAGAACCAATCGACATCGCGAAAAAACGGCAATAACTTCGAGAGATGCGAATATCGATGTCATGCCTTTTTTTAGAAAGGATTTGAATAAAATCGTTTTTCTCTGTAAAAAAAAAGTTAGGTGATTGATGATGCCAACGTCGATGAAGAAAACATAAATTCTAATTTCTTGTTTGTGTGCTTATAATTGACTCTTTTTTATATTTTTTGTATAAACTCTTTATATTATACATAAACAGATTTAAATAGACAACTTTTAACTTTAACAAAATTCGACTTTTCATAAATGAAAGATTGACGCGTGCATCTATCGGCGCAGCAAACGATGTGCATGTATGTTTTGGAGAAAATAATAAATCGTTGCGTCAAACGGTTACGATCATGTGCACGAATAAAATATATTAACACACCCACCTGGCGAGCATCTAATATAGCAATTGTTCTTCTTCATTCGAATTGCGTACGAGGTAATTGAAGGGTGCGCCAAATAAAATACGCGCCCTAAGGAGGTAAGATACAGCCGTCAGATCTCGTGTATGAAAGTTAGAACCGGAGGCGAAAAAGGGTGGAGAAGAGGATGGGAGAAGTAAACGAGAATATTGTGCGAGAAAGAGCAAAAGTCAAAGAGAAGAAGATAGTTAAAAGAAAAGGGAACGAAAAATATGAGAGAAAGAGAGAGAGAGGGGGAGGGGAAATGATAGGGAAAGAATATTGACGCAATATAAAATGTCTTTTGAGAGATATATAAAATAGAATATAGAATCATAGATTAAAAATACAAGTTGTTAAAAATTTGAAATATGGATTATCATATATAAATATATTTGTTATTATTTATTTTATAAATGCATATGCAAATTTTATTACACTTAATAGGTAAAGATTATATATTATTAATACATTAATAAGTGCTCTATTAAATTTCAATGCTTCTTTTGTGCTACAAAAAAAGAATTTAAGTCTTTATGTAAATCTATGCAAAAGGAATTAATTTTGCCCGTGAAACAACTATTTACTATATTTACATAGTCCGATTTAAACGCCATGTAAACGCTATTTTATGACAAAGTTACTACATCGATGTAATAACTCAAAGTCGTTTGATAAAGAAGCTTAGAGTTACTACATCAATGTAAAAAAAAACATGTAAACGGCTGCAGCATAAGGATGGCGATAATGTCGAAAAAATTAAATGTCTTAACTCTTTATTGTTTGCAGAATTGGTTATTCAGTATTTTGTACCATACAGAAAGAGAGATAAAAAAAATTAAAGAAATGGAAATCAAAAAGCGTTTATGATAACGTTACAACATTATTTACAATAACCCAAACTTGTAACTTCACTTTCAGTTTTAATTTCACTTTCAGTTATATATTACATTTCACTGAACAAATAAATATTTAATGATTTCCAAATTCATAATGTTACCTAAAAGTTCCCTTTGTTGACTTAATCACATTCTTTTAGATTACAATCTTATCACAAGCAAGCATCTAATTTTTCATCTACTAAGCCTGAATGTGTGACTCACTTAAATAAGAGTTATAACATCAATATTACTAAATTAGAAGTTAAAAACCCGTGCTAATTGTTTGAGCTGTGCACGTTTAGCACATTGGTCACCAGCAGATGATATTATTTCGGAAGTGACAGCAGCTTCCAGTTGTAAGTATCTAATTATTATCACAACAGTTTTTATATCTTTTGAAAAAGAAGTATAATATAAGATATATATCATATTAACATATTATTTAACATATTATTAATATATTATGAAAAACATGTTTTAATTGTATACAAGTATTTGAAATAGTTTTAGGAAGAAATATTTTATTGCATGACTTCTTTTATGAAATATAATCAAAAACATATATCCTAAAATAGAGATGAACTGTTTCAATATTAAAAAATTTAATATTTGTATATTTTTGTATCTGACAGTTTGTTAAAAGATCTTGGTAATATAATTAATATATAGATAGAGAGAAATTTCAATATATTAATTATTATAAAATTATAATTTTTTGTGCAGTTGTTGAGTTTGAGCATATTGAACGGACACATCTGAAAAAGACTTGAACTACTCGGTTGATGTGATCTAAATCTAGTGTTGTGACAAATATGCGAATTAACAATATGAATATTATGTAATGGTATCCTTGAAAACAATTTGTATTTTCGATTAATGCAACATAAAATTAAAACACATACGCATGCATACATAAATACACATATACATGTACACAACATATATATAGATGTACACATTTATATGTGTATGTAATGCTTAGGTTTGCATATTTATGCGCTATTATAGACATCAACAGATGCATACGTTTATGTTTTAATAATTTATCATTTGACTGAATTATAGATATTTATAAAATAAACGAATAAAAATTAGGTAATTTTTAAAGTTTTTGAATTAAAAACTTGAAAAAATACAACAGTTCTAATGGGTAGCATTAGTTTTTATTTTACGCTTATAATCTCAATAATAATGAAAATATCAATCATTCTCAGTCAGACAGTGATGGGTTCAAGTTCCAATTATTATGCTGTGTTATTATCAATCTTTTTAATGTATAAAAATCTTCTAGAAAAAATAAAAGTCGATTATGATTGGACTATCGGAAATAACTTCATTTGATATTCTTGATGTTCTTGATCCTTGTCACCTTTTCATAATATTGCTCATTAATGCAATAACGGAGCTAGAGGTTGCAATACCTAATGTTACAATAAGGAAAAATTTATGAGAAGAATAAAAGAATCTACAAATTTCTCAACTTAAAAAATCTATTCTTTTTGCAATATTTTTTTATTATAATTTTTGTTATTCTTAATACATTACATTTTTGGCAACATTATTAAAGAATTTATTTCATTTTATCAAGGAGACAGGAAATTTGAAGAGAAAAGATTTTTACAATTTTAAAAAAGCTTTTAAAAGTTTTATTTGAAATAAAACATCGATGTAAAAAGGACGTGTAAAAGGCTGCAGTGTAATATTGATGTTATAACATCCTATTTAAGTGAGTCACATTTTACACATTTAGACTTATCTTACTCTCACCAAATAGCATAACAACTTTCAAATGAAGTGAATTAAAGATTTCTATTAATATCAATTCTACTAATATTAAGTGATTTAAAGATTTCTATCAATGTATAAGGATGGCGATAATGGCAGTCGTAAAAATTAACGTCTTAACTTTTTATTGTTTGCAGGGTTGATTATTCAGTATTTTGTGCCATACAGGAGGAGAGATAAAAAAATAAAAGAAATGGAAACCAAAAAGCGTTTATAATAACGTTATAACTTTATTTATATTAACCTAAAATTTTAATTTCACTTTCAGTTATATATTACATTTCACTTAACAAATAAATATTTAACAAATAAATATTTAATGATTTCCAAATTCATAATGTTATCTAAAAATTTCCTTTATTAACTTAGTCATGTACTTTTAAATTACAATCTTATCACAGCATCCAATTTTTCATAATTTTATATTGATAAAAATCTTTAAAGCATTTAATACTAGTAGAAATCCTTGACTCACTTCAATTATGCTATTACAGCTTGGTGGGAGTAAAATACGTGACTTACTTAAATAGGAGTCATAACATCAATAACATCAATAAGTTAAAGTTAGAAGCTCGTGTAAACATATTAATTATTTGAGCTGCGCACCGAACATTTAGCACAATGGTCACCAGGAAATGATATTGTTTCGAAAGCGATAGGAGCTTCTAGTTGTAAGTATCTAATTATTATCACAACAGTTATATCTTTGAAAAAGAAGTATAATATAAGAAATATTATTTTTTAACATATTATTTAAAAACATGTTTTAATTGTGTACAAATATTTGAAATAAAATAGTTTAAAAAAAAAATATCACTTTTTTTACGAAATATAATCAGTAAAAGGTTTATAAAAATTTAAGTTTCATTACTGCACATTACTGAGTATATATTTCGAGAAACGCAACTGATCATAG